TTATTACTCATACTTCTTGCATTTGTATACAGGTATCTAAAATACTGATTTGATTTTGCCTCCCTGTTCTGTCTAGTCCCTCCTTTTCCTCTGTTATTATAGTCTATGTCCTTCCCATTTCCAACCCAACTGGACACCCATGTGCCTGTCCATTTATATTAACACATACTTTTGTTTTATTATTAATGTAGTTCTTCAGGGAGGGCTGGTCAGGATTTACTGCCGAGGTGTCCTCACAGATCTCCATTGATGATAACCAGACGGCTGCTTGCATGTGTGCTGAGTGGTGTGTGCCATGTTGATCTGTGCACTTAATCTCCACAGCCGACCCCAAGAGAGCCCCCAAAGACCACAAACCAGATAAGAATCAAAGGTGCCAGGCCAGGTTTATTGTAGAGCGAAGTACAGTAATAGCTCTCAGTAGACTCTACTCAACCACTACCCACATGTAATGACTCAATCAGTGGGAGGTCCCACTGCCCCCTAGGTCATTCAAAGGCTGTCTCCCAAGACACCACCTTATATACATGTACAAGTCACACTTCACTGCTGACGTATCAGGTTGCCACCCTCTCACGTTGTCAGGTTACCACTCTCTGACATTACTTAGATACCATCCATCACTCTGAACCTCGTAGTTTGATTAGTTCATCTCTATCCATCATTCGGACATTTTAGACCCTTTCTTGAACCTGAGTCTGTATCTGTGCGGAGAGGGTACCAAGTTCTTTTTTAATGTGCTAGTGATTTCATGTGCTTTCCACTTATAACCAATACCAATTTGTTCTGCAGTCAGTACCTAGCACCAATTAGTGCTTTGTACTCTCAGCCCTGTTCGTGCCAAGGTCTGTGAGCTGGGGCCTGCCTTTTTCTCACAGCTTAGCTTTGCTTTATGTTAGTCATGTTTTGCCCATTGTTAGCTAGACCTCAGGCCTCAAACCAGGTCTGTGCTGCATGGGCTTATGCTTTAGGCCCTAATCTTACTACAATTATTACTTTTTAGTAACAAGCTAATGCAAAGATGTTTCCTGAGAGAACCTGACTACCATTACGAATATCTGATTCTCCACATTCCACTGCTGTAGAACTGGCACATACAACTGGAGTGTGATCTCTGTAGGGTTGCCAGATGGTTTAACCAAAATTACTGAACACCACCACTCCTCAAAAAAATATAACACCAGGGAAAAAAATCTGTTGAGAAAAAGGGAGAAACCAAAGTTGTTGAGCCCCTCCCCCCCAAAAAGACCCCGAGAGTTATTAAATTAAATAAATTTAAAAAACCCAGCATGGCTCCTTTAAGAAATGCCTTTGAGGCTTTTTGGCCCTAACAAGCTGCTGGTGGCCGTCCGCCATCTTGTCTTCCTGCTCCGGGCCAGACAGCTCCCCCGAAGAACCAGGTAAGCACCTGGGATTTTCACCTCTTGGCCGGGAAAAAAAATCAGAAAATACTGGACATTTTAGGTGTCCGGTATTTTCTGAATTTTTTTACTGGTCAGGAGGCGAAAATACCGGACTGTCTGGGTCAATGCCAGACACCCGGCAACTCTAGATCTCCGTCAACAGATAAAACAAGGCGAAATGAAGCGGGGTACTTAGAATTACTGGACAGATATCATAGGAATTCTGGGTCACCATAGTATTGATCTTATGAGATCAGAGCCATTTGTATTCCTTTCTGGCAATCTTCAGCGTCTGATAACATTCTTCTGAGATGAGATCTTTAACTGGAAAACATGCGCTCTCAGCTCATGCCTATGACTGACTTCCCTGGTACATGACTGTGTTTGTCCCAAGTCCAGTACTCCAGGAACTGTAGCACTCTGTATGTTTGATTCAGGTTTTTATGGCCTGATCATCTTTGCACTGATCTACCATGCTGTACTGTGTGTGAGGGCCAACTGCAGAACCCAGCACTCATTACGCGCCCCTTGTTGCATTCTGTTCAGAAGAGAAGGTTGAACAGAATTGGTTTTATTTTTTCTCATCACCCAGTCATCCTGTTTCAGAGCAGAAGAAGTGAGCAAAACTGGCTTCCTTCTGCCTCATGAGCTCCTACCTGGTCTCTCAAGACAAGTACTGGCCTGTGGCTCAGGGATGGGTGCAGAACCCAGCACTCATTACGCGCCCCTTGTTGCATTCTGTTCAGAAGAGAAGGTTGAACAGAATTGGTTTTATTTTTTCTCATCACCCAGTCATCCTGTTTCAGAGCAGAAGAAGTGAGCAAAACTGGCTTCCTTCTGCCTCATGAGCTCCTACCTGGTCTCTCAAGACAAGTACTGGCCTGTGGCTCAGGGATGGGGT